GCGTGGCTCTGGCTCTTTGGAATGAATCTCTGTACTGCATAGACCCTTTCTCTACCCCTCGGCATTGAAGTCAGCCCAGGGCTTCAGCCTTGCGAGATCCACACAGAATGAAAGTCTCAGCCTGGGGGGGCGGGGGGCACAGACAGGGAATCAAAGCCCACAGGGAGCAGAACCTATAATAATCTATAATAAACCTGGCATTCCTGTGGGGAGGAGCCCCAGGGGCGGACTTGAAAGGCCTGGAAGGAGCTCCCACCTGGGGCTCCTCCCCAGGGGCAGACTTGAAAGGCCTGGAAGGGGCTCCCACCTGGGCAGGCAAAAGCAGGCGGTACTAGCCTGGCCTTCCTTCCGGCCCAGGTGTGTCTGCCCTCCTCCTCTGCCTGGGGTCTCCAGGTACCCTGCCTCCATGCAGGTACAGGGGCAGACAACCCCCCAGATCAAAAACGGAAACCCAGCTAACTTACTCTGGCAGCTGGCAACAGCTGGCAACAGCTGGCAACTGAAACTGGCAGGGACCCGCTCCCAGGGCCTCTCCCAGAGTCCCCAGCTTCACTCATTGGGAGAAACAAAGGCTTCCCCGCCAAACCCGCTCTGGTGGGTCTTTCCCAGCAGCCAACTTGACCCCCAGAATCTTGTCACAGGTCCAACCCTCCTCTGAGTCACGTTGAAAACAGGTACAATTAGTGTTTCAGCTCGGGAAACCAAACCCAAGCCCACCAAACTGAGGAGAGCCGCCCCAGAGGGGCCAAGCCCGTGGCCCTCACAGGGGCAGCCTGCCTCCTCTTCCTCCCGTGGAGATATGAGTTCTGACCTCTGACCTTTGGATGAGCAGCACTGTGCTTAACCACTGTGCTACCAGGGCTGTGCCTTCCAGCTCTGACATACCTCCTTCCAAAAAAAGGGGTGGGAAGGGGAAGGCCAGCGACAAGCAGCCAACGAAGAGGCTGTCCTACTTGTCACAGGCGAACAAGTCTGCTGGTTTGCTCTCCCAGAGAGGGACACAACCCACTGCCCGGCCGCCCCCAGCATCAGCTTCCATCACTGGCAACTCCCAGCCAAGCTGGTTTCATGCCCGTTTCTCCTTCCAGCAAAGCTCAGGGCTCATCCTCTTCTGCGCACACATACTCCAAACCCCAAACCGTGTCTGCGAGAAGCACCTAGTTGTTGCTAGTTGCTGCCAAGTCCGTCCCAACCCGGGGGGAGCCGGTGTGCACGGGAGACTGCTCCACAGGGGCTGGAACGGTCAGGCTGCCAGCCTTATCTCCTGAAATTCCAGGCTGGGTTCACACTGCCCACCTTGTGGTGAGTCCTTGAGCCCTGACCCGTTTGCACCACCTAGGGACGCCCCTGAAAACAAGCACTCAAAGACCAGGAACACCCCGGAGGCGCAATCCCACTGTCCCAGGACAGCTGCCGATGATGATGCTTTCAGGGCCCGTCTCCTCAGCAGTCACTGTTGAGCTTTCTCCAGTCGGGTCCTGATTTTTATTCTTTCATTGTAATACAATCATTTTAATTGTAAAGCAATATTAAAATTCAAATGAAAGGCATTTAACAATCTTTCTGTTTCCTCTGCTTGTGTTTAAATCAATATAACTTGGCTAACAAAGCCCCCTTGTTCCACGAAGGAGCATGGGAAAATTTTCATTCGAAAGGA